TCCTTTTGTAATTCACTCAGCGTGTTTGGTAAAATCACAAACTGCCATAAATGCTAGGATTGTTTTTTTTTTAGTGTTCTGTAATGAATATAGAACTAAGTTTTAATTTTTGTAATGGGTAAACAAGGGGCCCACTCATAGCTATAAGGCTAATATTTAATATTTTAGAGAAATAAATACACTTAAAAAAAAAAAAAAAAAAACATTTCGGTCGAAATAAAGTCACATTTTAAACTTTCTTGCGAAATTACGTTTTACTGAAACAAACACACGCACACACACCCAAACCCACCCACTCACACACACACATCAACCTGGGAAAGGTCGTGAATATTTGTACATACGGTCTTGTGCAGTGTTTCCCAACCTGTGCGCCGCGGCGCCCCAGTTAACCCCTCTATACAGGGGCGCCGAGAAATATTGTAAAAGCTTCCTAATTAATTTAACAGAGACACGAATAGTCATACTTTTACTTAGGTTAGGGCGCAGAGGAAACATCTTCATTGAAAAAAGGCAACGCGAACAAGAAACGTTTGGGAAACACTGGTCTAGTGTTAAGAGGGGTCATTTGCCAGTAGACTAGTTAGCTCTAGATTAACCAGACTGCCAGTACTTAAATAAATCCGCACGAAAAAGCAACATCCACTTCTAAAAGTGGGCAAGTAAATAGGGTGGGATGGCATCGGATTGGGGGGAAGGGGGCAGGAATGCATGTGATCCTCCAGTGCTCAATATTTATTTCTAAAACGTGTTACGTTGGCTACTGTTAATAAGAGTTATGAACGATGTTTCATAATTCAGATGTACCAGGTTCTAATCAGCTGCAGGCGATTTCGCAACAAACCGCCTCAACAACAGTAAGATCATCGTGCCGTTCAGTAAGCAGTGACAAACTACCAAACGTAAGAATTGCCTAGTAAAACTACAGAGAAGACAGCAAATGCTATAGCTGTCTGCGACGTCCTGAAAAAGGATATGGAATTAACGTTTAACTATAACCCTATTGCAGTTTGTCCAGAGAGGGCCGTATGTTTACACGGAGATGGAGATGAAATACCAGGTCAACTTTGCTGCCACAGAAGTCACTTTCCGACAACGGCGCCAACACGTGTTTGACAGGGAGGCCACCGAGACGGCATGCAGCACGTGCACGGAGAATGACACGGTGAGTAGGGAGTATGTGGGTCCGCAGGCGTGTGTGTTTGTGTGTGATCAGGGGCTATTGAAATTGGGAATTGCATGTTCAAGTAAATGTCTCTTGTATCATCACAATATGGTGTCATTATTGACTGTCTCGGTAGCCGCCGAGGTGTAGCGGCTAGACATTCGCCTTCGGATAGGAGGTTCAAATCCTGATGGAATTGACTTAAAAAAAATAACCTTAGAACTCAAGTCGACCCAGCCTTAAATGAGTACCAGGTACAGTCCTGGGAAGTAAAGGCTGGCGGGATGATAACCACATCACCCACTGAATGCCGATTGGTATATATAATAAAGGTCTAGCCATATACACACTAAACGCATGAAAGCGTGGAAAAGGGGCCTTTATGTTTTTGAAATTTTGTCTTTGCTGATTGTCTCCCTGATACATAGACACACACATGTCGGAAATACAGTCGTTTATATACCTCGCGCCCACCAACATCAGCAAGGGCATTGCCGACTGACATTAGCTATCACACCTGTCCACAGCTTGCGATCTCCAACAGCATGTATCAGTTCATTTGTTGACACCTCTTCACAGCTTACGATCTCCAACAGCATGTATCAGTTCATTTGTTGACACCTCTTCACAGCTTACGATCTCCAACAGCATGTATCAGTTCATTTGTTGACACCTGTCTACAGCTTACGATCTCCAACAGCATGTATCAGTTCATTTGTTGACACCTCTCCACAGCTTGCGATCTCTAACAGCATGTATCAGTTCATTTGTTGACACCTCTCTACAGCTTACGATCTCCAACAGCATGTATCAGTTCATTTGTTGACACCTGTCTACAGCTTGCGATCTCTAACAGCATGTATCAGTTCATTTGTTGACACCTCTCTACAGCTTGCGATCTCTAACAGCATGTATCAGTTCATTTGTTGACACCTCTCTACAGCTTACGATCTCCAACAGCATGTATCAGTTCATTTGTTGACACCTCTCCACAGCTTACGATCTCTAACAGCATGTATCAGTTCATTTGTTGACACCTCTCTACAGCTCGCGATCTCCAACAGCATGTATCAGTTCATTTTTTGACACCTCTCTACAGCTCGCGATCTCCAACAGCATGTATCAGTTCATTTGTTGACACCTCTTCACAGCTCGCGATCTCCAACAGCATGTATCAGTTCATTTGTTGACACCTCTTCACAGCTCGCGATCTCCAACAGCATGTATCAGTTCATTTGTTGACACCTCTTCACAGCTTACGATCTCCAACAGCATGTATCAGTTCATTTGTTGACACCTGTCTACAGCTTGCGATCTCTAACAGCATGTATCAGTTCATTTGTTGACACCTCTTCACAGTTTGCGATCTCCAACAGCATGTATCAGTTCATTTGTTGACACCTCTTCACAGTTTGCGATCTCCAGGTCTATTTCTATCTCCCCCACCCCTTATTATTTTTTCAGGCCCTGAAACCCGTAATGGGACAATTTCGGGCTACTTACCACCATATTTTTTACTGGCTTACCTTTCCATTTAATTTACGTTGAACCTACTTCTTAAAATCTCAAAAAACAACGAAGCAGCATCTGGTTCCCGCAATGTAGCATGGGTGTAAAAAAGCACATAGAACATGAATCCCAATACGCCGATTCCTCTTTAACATTCGTCCCCCCCCCCTTTTTTTTGTGTGGTTAAATTATTACTCCACAGATGAATTTACAAAGTTTTTGTTTTAAAAAATCATCTAGCTTCTTCTTTTAGTCATAGACCTATGAAAAAACCTCCTCAGTCTAGCGCACTGGTAGTGGTAATTTATGTCAGCCTTACTCGCTGTCACCATGTCAAACTGGTAGCTTCTTTCTGGGGCCTCATTTTCTTAACGGTTACGTATATACGTGTTTAATCATAAAAAGATTAAATGTTTATTGCTTGGCAATCAATCGATGAGTTGAAAGTATCGGTTTGTGTGCACTAATTATCGGTGTTTTTATCAGCTCACAGTTCTCAGCCCCTGGTACCTGCAAACAGTAGGCCAGCATGGCGGAGAGGAAGCCCTCAGCTGGATACAGATACCCAAGTACTTGAACTCCTACCTCCTGGCAGCTGGGTTTATGTACAGACGTGACAGCGACATCTTCAACCAGAACATTTCAGTCCTTGGCAACTTTATTTCGGAATCAACTGTTTTCTCAGCAGAGCCTATGGCAAATTTCTCTTTCGGGACCTGGCTTCACTTTTCTTCAAATAGTTACAGATCCGCCATCGTAGACAACAGAAATGGACAAGACTTTATCCTATCGGAAGTGAAATCTTTATACAAAGTTCTCACTAACTTGACCCTGCTAGGAGGTCAAGCACTACAGCGGCCAGATAAGAAACTGCAGCAGGACTGTAAACAGTGGGCTCAGGAGTTGTGCTCTTCAGTTCAGTCGGTTATAAAACTGACTTTAGGCATATCTGAATGTGGTGTTATATATATACTGAGCAACTGCCAAAACAACGTGTCTTCCTACGCGCTGAGTGTTCTTCAACAAATATTTTGTCCCTCCAGCGACATAAACGCTTGCCTTAACCTGACAGCCTTGTCTGGTGATCTGCTGCTGATGTATGAGAACGCAATATTCGACTTCATACAGTACTTATCTAACATAACTCTCCGCGGGTTCCTGTCTTCGAGGCAGCTCAGTTTAGTCATCTCCAGGAATCAGAGCCAGCTGGCGTTAGGTCATAACATCAGTGGTGATGATGTCTTCCAGGCTTGGCGCCAGGTGGGGCTGCTCCAGTCCAAGTGGTTGGGGGACACCAGTGAGCAGAGCCCGCTGTGGAGAGTCTACACGTGCCTTGAGAAACGAAATATGAACAATAACATGAAGGTGAAAGGTCAGTTATCTTTCTTACTGTCATATTTTTTTTTTTCCAAGATACTTTTCCTCCTGAAACAATATTTTAAAACATATGCCCCTTATCAAAGTACTGATACACTCTACGCCGTTAAACAAAGGACCTTACTGATGACGAAAACTTTTTAAGCATGTGGTGGGAAGGTTTTTGCTTGTTATCAGCAGGTGAAATTAAGAATTACCGACCATAGGGAAAATGGAGGATGAGGGGAGGAGGGGGGGGGGGGGGGGGCGGGGCAATATAAAATAACATTACTGAGGGAAAGTGTTAGGGAAGGGCGACATATTATAGATTATATAGTAATTTTGCATCAGCCTCGCGGGCCAGTAGAAATTGCTCGGCGGACCAGTTTTAGCCCGCACGCCATACTTTACCCACCCTGTGCTAGACACATAATTGTGTAGAGCTATGGGTACTCGACAGATTTTTTTTATTACTCCTCTCTCTCTCTCTCTCTTTCTCTCTCTCTCTCTTTCTCTCTCCCCCCCCCCCCACTCCCTCTCTCTTTATCTCTTTCCTCCGGAATTGCTATTGTAAGATTAGGACCCGTTGACTCAAAAAGCCATATCGGGGAAGAATCCAACAAGAGCAAATGCAAGAAATCCAGTTCAACCCTAGACACAGTAATACGGCGACATCCTAAGGTTACATAGTAATCTACAGTCCAGTGTGGGTCAGTCCCCAACAACAAATGATGTGACCACCTTCACTTCCCAGAACATTTCCTTTTACTAATTTATGGTGTACAATATTTTTGCTCTGAGAATGATGAATATGTACAAAGTGGCAACACATTCCGACTAACAGAACATTGCAATAATCGGTTAAAACAGAGGGCGAGGACAGCGTGCATTACAAACAGTGAATTGTAAAGTTTAAACTTGCGTGACAAGAAAGTGAACATTAACGGTTGTGTGCTGTGTATAGAATTTGTGCAGTCGATTGGAGCATAGTTGATCACTGGGTTCAAAGAGTTGAAGCTTCTTCTTCTTCTTCTTCACTTACTCTTTTACCGCTGTGGGTGTCGAGGGAGATATAGTTCTGTTTCTAGCTCTTCTGGCCGCCTCGACCATAGGCACATCGTGCTGTTGTAGAGTTTCTCTGATGTTATCCTTCCATCTTGTTCTTGGTCCATCTCGTGCTCTACGTCCTTCTTCTCTTTCCAAAAATGCTATGTATGGTATGGTGTTTCGGCTTTCTGTCTCGTAGTCCCTTAACATAGCCATGGTCATATACCGTTTGATCAGTCCGTGTAAATCTCATTGTGTTTTCTGTAGCGATATTAAATCCATTGCCAGCTTACTAGGCCTGTCGCAACTTCACCAGAGCCCCGTTGGCCAGGACGTTTCGGGGTTGAAGCTTCGGTCAGCGAAAAGACGGATCCTATAATGTTATTCATAGTGTGAAGAAATTCCTACGTGAACAGGGCAAATCGGACATAGGTAATGCGTGCATGTCCTTGTTTCGCGAGGACGTAAGGTCATGTGAGATACCCAGGGTTCAAATTTCCTCTGAGGTTAGTGAATTTTTTTTTTCTGTGAGGGGTAACAATAAAACCCTAACACGCACAGTCCGCGGCGACAGCACTTGCCATGCAGTTCAAGGTCCCTCAGGCTCATCGCCCGCACCCCTTCCACACAAAAAAAAAAAAAAAAAAAAAAAAAAAAAAAAAAAAAAATCACTGGACCCCCCATCCTTCTGCATTACAAAAATGGTAAACACAGACAGTAAGGCAGTTTGGCAGTAAGGTCATACAAGTGGACAGAGATTTTATATAACACTAGCTGTACCCGGCCACGCGTTGCTGTGGCATAGTTTGGCTAAATGGAAAAGGAAGAAAATAGAAATCGCACATGTCTAATATGGTTATTGTCGCAATCACTGTCTGCTCGGATATAGGGATAGTCTTTGACCCCCCCCCCCCCACCACCACAGGTAGCGTTAGTAAAATATAAACAAATTAAGTATTGAAAACTTGAAAATCACGTGTAAAGCTCTTTAAGTTCTCTTAAATTTAGGTCATTACACACCTCCCCTCCCCTCTTCCACCGACTACTGCTCTCTCACTAAATCCACCTACTACTCTCTCTCTCATCAAAGGTTTTTGGAAAAGAAAGACAATGGAAATCGCTTGTGTCTAATATAATTAATGTCGCAATCATTCTCTGCACAAAAATAGAGATAGTCTGGTTTTCCAACTTTAGAAAACGCACCATATAATTGTGTCTTTATATTAGTGGTCGTTTAAATGGTGTTATTAGCACAGTAACAAAAATGGCTATTTGGTTATCACATGCTAAAGCTGTTTGTATTTTTGTAGGAGACGGAAGTAAAACTACAGCTGCACTTGTAAATAACAAAGTCAGTCGTAAAAAAATTGAATAGCGGAGGTAGCGTTAGTAAAATATAAACAAATTAAGTAATGAAAACTTGAAAATCACGTGTAAAGCTCTTTAAGTTCTCTTAAATTTAGGTCATTACACACCTCCCCTCCCCTCTTCCACCGACTACTGCTCTCTCCCTCTTCGAAGGATTTGCATATCATCACCTGGCGATATTTTTTGTGTTGTAACTGACATTGACATCCCTGTCCATCCGGACTAAAAATTGGGAGCAGGAATTGTAATAGGTAGTGAATGGGGCTAGTGTAATATTTACTACATCATCCTTCAAGTACCAGTACAACTACTACCACGACCACCACCACAGTAGCTAAAATAGTGTCACTGCTATCTGTTTTACCATTGGAGTAGACAGGGAGTCGTGAGCCAGAAGATTTGGTGCCGCATAGCTAGTGCTGTCGCCACTGACTGGTCAGGTTAGGATGTATAATTTCGCTTCCCGACAGAAGAACTCCATAACCTTACCGGCGGTCTTCACATGGGAGCACTACGGTGTAACAGCCCAACCACAACTACTACTGCTGCTGCTACTTTGAGTCGGTAAAGCAGTTACTGTGACTTAAAGCTCTCTCAGTAAACAGTTTGCACCCCCCCCCTAAATTCACCGACTACTCTTTCCCTTATTGAAGCAGCTGAGAGAGAAAAAAAAAATTAAAAAGCAAATGAAAACAGGAAAAATACACCATAATTAGGAAATGAACGCTATGGTAAACAGCACAGCTTAAAATTCCAACGGAGATGACATAATTAAATCTAAATGAAAAAAAAAATGGAAAGCTATGAAATTTCAGCGTAACTATGCAATTGTAAAGTTTAAAAATGAAATCATAAGTATACGAATTGGTCAAATTTAATTATCAACTGCCACATACATGTCCTTTTTTTTTTTTCTTTTAGTATTAAGGGCCACATGGCTAGTGCTGTCGCCACGACAGTGCAAGTGAGGATTTTATTTTAGCCCCGGGTAAAAAAAAAAAACACACACACTACTGCGGATTCGAACCCTGGTCTCCCGGACAGGAGCCCAGTGTTCTAACCATTAGACCAAGCAGCCACTTCATCAGGGAAACGAAAAGAGAACAAACCTATTGAGATGTGTGTCCCTACTACAGTGTTCCGATTATAATACAACTCGAAACAGCAGGCAATTGTTTTCTCATAGACAGATATTCCAGATATATTATTGAAACGGCACAACAATAGAAATCGCAGGTGTCTAACACGGGTTATGTTGCAGTCAATGTCTGCGCCGACATCGAGATAGGCCTTGATGCCCCCCCCCCCCCTTTTCCCTTCCAATCCATCGGCTACTTTCCAACTCATCGAAGGTTGTTTGAAAAAAAAAAAAAAAAACAGAACATATAAATCGTGTTTAAAATGGTTATTGTGGCAATCATTGCCTGCACAGATTAAAGACAGTCTTGTTTGCTGTACCACGGCCCACTCTATTTATTAGAGAAGGCGTTTGCTGTACGTATCTCCCTGGCGAATGGTGGAAGTCTTGCGTTCTGACTACGGCGCATGCGCATTTACTAACGTGGCTATAATTAACTGTCACTAAAAATGTAAATATTAGTTTCGAAAATTTTCCCAAAAGTTGTCGCACACTATCTCTAACAATGATAGGTTGAATTTCAAACCATGATGGGTGAACATTCGGTATCAAAACAAACATATCCTGAAAATTTCATCTAAACCTGTTCATTAGTTTCCGAGTCTATAGCTCATAAACAAACACACAAACATTGATTTTTATATATATAGATTAATATGTGCAAACGACATAATGAATTACATTTAGAGAGCGGTATATGACCGGCCTAGATCTTTTACACCACACACAACATAACATATGACTACAGTCTGTTCCAAGAGCCGTGCTCTCAAACTTAAACAAATAGATCTTTTACACCACATACAACACAACATATGACTATAGTCTGTTCCATGAGTCGTCCTCTCAAACTTTAACAACTAGATCTTTTACACCACGTACAACACAACATATGACTATTGTCTGTTCCAAAAGTCGTCCTCTAAAACTTTAACAACTAGATCTTTTACACCAGATACAACACAACATTTGACTATAGTCTGTTCCAAAAGTCGTCCTCTCAAATTCTAACAAATACATCGAAAACTCCTACACGGATCAGCGTTAATTTTTCCATGTGGTGCTAAATTTCCACATGTCCTTATTATTTTATAATTTACAATTGCACAAATGCTACTCTTCACTTAAAGTGGCCAATCTCTTTGATCTTTATCGGACTAATAATTTGTATGCTCCTAAAAATAATATATACTGTTATTAATACAAATCGTTTACTTTAACTATAACCGTGGAGATTGTTTTCAAAATCATATTTTGTACAGGTGCAGCGATGCGTGTTAAATATTTGCATAACCTGTCCAGCATACAATGTATCCTTGTGCAATATATCCTTGTCATTGACAGTTAGAAAAAGAATTCTTGCTTGCTACATACATCCAGTTTTAATATATGGCTGGGAATCCTGGACAATCGGTAAGCAGGCCAAACAATTTCTTGAGACCTCAGAGATGTGGTTTTACAGAAGAATGCTTAGAATACCTTGGACAGCGAAAAAAGGCAACCAAGAGGTTTTGAAAGAGGCGGGAGCCCGAAGACAACTTATCACAGACGTCAGAAGGAGACAGTCATCCTTTTTCGGCCATGTTATGAGAAGAGGGAAAATAGAACATGTTGTGACTACTGGAAAGATCTGTGGAAAGAGGGATATAGGAAGACAATGAGAGAAGATTTTTGACAGCCTTGTTGCATGGCATGAAGATGTGTCGGCACACGAACTGATACATGCTGCAGGAGATCGTGGATTATGGAGAGGCATGATCGCCCACGCTAGTCGGCAAGGCACCTGATAATGATGATCCAGCATGCAGTAAAATAATTTGTTCATCTAATTCACTGGAGACTAATGATGTAGATTAACCACCTGATAGTGAAACGATATTTTTCACACGGGTTACTTCTGATACCTGTACAATTTGATGTATTGAAAGTTTATGTTACTCTATTACTGTAGACATGCTAATTGCATGCTTTGACTGGATCTCTGCTTTTTCATATACTGCGGATAAGGCAAAACAAATACAATATGTTTGTTTTATATTTTTTTTCATGCAGAGATATGATTAACTGGTTACAAAACAAATGTTATGAATTTAGAATGAACGGTTACTGAATTTTATATTTTTAAAGTTCGGCACGACTTTTAAAACGGACTGAAGTAGTCTGAACAAGGAAAAAGGGGGAAAAAAAGGGGGGGGGGGGGCGGGGGCAAGGGCAAGACCTGTGAACATACAACTAAACATTATGTCGTGTTTGTGCCAATCTGTTCCTGTTTTGCCGCTGAGCTTCATAGTCATCGTTTGTATTATGTTCATTTTGTTTTCATCAACTTGACTGCAGTAACAACCCCTATTTTCCACATTACTTTTGTAAACTAGATGTGTGTTTATGAGATCGAGAGATATTTTCGCTCTTCTCTCTTCCTATGCTTATAGGAGGCTAGAAATCAGGTGTCTATTGCAAATTCGACCGGTCGAAACCACATAGTGTATGGTTTTCCAGCTCCTATCAACTGCCTACGCTCTATCATTGTCTAACGGTGATCGATAACTCGTCAACTACTGTTTACTTTGGTCCTTCCTGGAAACTAAGTGTAGAGGGCAGGGAAAGCTTTCAGTCTAAGGTCAAATGTGGTTATCTGGACTGTCGACAGTTCGGGTGAAGTAAAAGTGAATGGTCTCTTTATTTGTACTAGCTCTATAATCACATTTTCTTTAGTTGTTGGCACCTTGCCGGAAATGGGAGGCATTCGTTCTCACAAGATCTTCTAAGAACTTTATATTGCCGGAAATGGGAGGTATTCGTTCTCACAAGATCAAGCACTTTATTTGTTGTCCTGACTACAGACATCATCAGGCCCCATTCGATCAGCCGAGGTGCCCATAGTTCGCTTGTCTCACACAGTCACCAGATTCACGGATCTGGTATTTTCTTATTTAAATCCCGTACAAGTTATGTGGCCGTACAATCCAGCTGTTCATTCTCCCCCCCCCCCCCCCCCCCTTTGTTCATTTGGTTTTCCATCAGATTTGCTGTTTTCGGGTTCATTCGCTTCTTACATCTTGCAAATATCGTATTGACCTACGTATAGTTTCTCTAAACAGTTCACGATTTTCACGTTTCTCTGAAAAACTGTCTTATCTGTTTCTCTGTCTGTCCGCTGCATTCTTTGCCTTTTTTTTCAGAAACTATGTTTTTGCTGCCATTATATTTCCGACTGATTGTCTGTTTAAAAAAGCATGGGCTTAAAAAATCAAAATTGTAATGTATGTCAGCATTTATATGATGGACATTTCGAAAATAACTTATAATTATAATTATGGTAATTTATCCGTATTCGTTCATAACAACCCCCCCCCCCCAACGGTGCAAGAATTTACGTTAGGACGTTAGATGAGGTACTAACATGCGGAGTGAAAACAATGATAACATTTAGTTGTTAAAAGCGAGGAAATATAATCCGTTCCAAAAGATCTGCCAAACTTAAAAAATATGTAACTCAATAACATGTGAACTGATTTCCAGTGTCCACTCATGTGTCATTTACTGTCAAATATATTTATCAGGGGTACAGACATTTTTAGTCAAAGACAGATCAAAGAAATTCGTTGCTTTAAGAAAACAGCAGCATCTGTGCAATTGTCAATAATAGAATCACGAGAACATGGGAAATGCCCGTATGTTACCGGGGTCCTCATAGGAAGCTAAGAATAGTAACTCTGCATCCTACCTAGCATGCCGTAAGAGACGACTTATGGTAGGGTTGGACTTGGGATTAGCTAACACATCCTGTACAAACAATAGCTTAAAAATCCAACCAACCATGAAACAGTTAAAAACTAATCTCAGCTAACCACGATGAGGGAGGGGAGGCTCTTCCAGTAGAAGAAGTACGACACGGTGCAAAGAAATCCGAAAGGATCGTCGACATACCTTCTCTCACCTAGGAAAATCTCCAGAATTGGCACCTGCAATGTTAGAACTTCGTACAATGTAGAAAGAGCAGTGGAAGTATTATTTCAATTCCAGTTGTCTAACAAAAATTCCAAACTTGATCCTTTTTCAGCTGCCCGGAGGCCTGCTAGGAAGGTTCCTTGGCTATCCTATTTGGTTTCCTTTTATTTGTGGTGTGTAGTCACACCCGATATTCCGGTTCTTTGCTTCCATGGAAGTATTAAGGGAAATGAAACGTTATAGGAATAGTATTTTAGGATTATTTGAAACTAGATAGACCGGGCAGTGAAAAGTATTCTGATTTCAGGGGAAACTACTTTGTTTTGTAAAGTGGAAAACTCTCCTCACAGTAAAGAAATGGCCCTGATACTATCGAAAGAGACATAAAGGACACTAATAGAATGGGAAGCTGTGAGTGCTAGAATAATAAGACCGTCATTTAGAACAAGAAAACAAAGGTTGGAAATGTCGGTAATACAGTGTTATGCACCAAGAAGCGAAAAGGATGAATTAGTTAGAGAGAGATTTTACATGCAGCTTCGAAATATTATAAATAATGAAGAAAAAAAATGCAATACAAAAATTGTGATAGATGACCTGAATGCTAAAATAGGATAAGATATCGCAGGTTATAAAGAGATTGTGGAAAAACATGAACTAGGAGTAATGAATGAAAATGGAGAATTGTTCACAGATTTCTGTGCAGGAAACCAGTATGTTATTGGTGAAAGCATTTTCTCACATAAAAGAATACACAAGGCCACATGGGAATCACCAGACCATAAGACAACCAATTAAACTGATTACATATGTATAAACGACAAATTTAGATCATCCCTTTATAATAGTTACGATTCGATAATTGTATAAATCCAGTTTCGTCCTTTAAAGGACGACATTTTTTGTTATTTAAAACCCCACCCTGGCCTTTTCCAGGGGCCGCAATATAGGCAAGCCATAAATATGGCCACTTGTCTGGGTTTCTGGGATCTCTTGTAGAAAGTCAGTCAGTCAGTCATCCCTTTATAATGTTAGGGCTTTCAGAGGTTCCAATGTATTTACTGTCCATTTTCTGTTGGTAAGTAAAATCAATTTGAAATTTAAAAGATGTATAACGTTTTATAATTATAGAAATAAGTATTGTGTAGGATATCTCAGAATAAAGAAGTTAAGGAATAATTTTCATTTACAGTCTCTAATTAGTGCCAAGTGTTGTAGCAGTTAGCTGAAACTGTAGACACTGAAGTCTGTTTGGATCAGATTGGGAATTTGGAATGAATCTTGTGTAAAAGTCCACGATGAGAAAGAAAGGAAACATAAAGCGCGGATAACGACAGAAGCCATTAAAAACCATTACTTAAATACCAGCAGATAAACTCCCCTAAAAAAGTGGGTTTTTTGTTTTGTTTACGACATTCTTGTTATACAGAGGCTTGAGAATAAGAGGGTCCATGCTTTTTGCCACCCACCATGGCTCTCAGGGGGATCTGCGTGTACATATAAGTGACTATAACAAATTATGAATTAATACAGTAAATAACATTACGATTACAAATCCATAGACACATTATACCGGACAAGGCGGTGGGGTGGGGGGTCGTTTAATAGACTCTCGCTCATTGGGATCTCGTGGCAAACAGCTAGTCCTTCAGCTGAGAGATATCGGGGTCATAAGGGATTAAATCGGGGGTCACATTTCGATTCTAGACAGGAAATACTGGCGATGGCTTATTCTGACGTCCTTCAGCTGAGAGATATCGGGGTCCTAAGGGATTAAACCGGAGGTCGACTTTAAATTCTAGACATGATACACTGGCGATGGCTCATTCTTACTTCCTTCATTTCAGAGTACAACCATAGCCGGTCTTCACCGGAAGGTCTGCAGCGGAGCTCCCAGAAGGTCAGCCTGTCGTCATTCACAGACTATGTGAGCCCATGTACAGACCTGGCGACCTGTCAGACGTGCTCCTCGCCAAGCTCCACGCTGAGTTTTTTCATGGAAGACCTCCTCAGGGCCACCACCTTCCTGCTCAACTCGACAACCTCTGTAGGAGGAGTTCGGGTTTTCAGATATCAACTTCACCCAAGTGAGTAAAAATAGCTTTTCTGGTTTTGATTATTACATAAACATCGATGCACTTGTCCTCCTGTATTCGTACAGGAGCGTCCGAACTTGAGCTGCCCCCCCCCCCCGCCCCTTCCCAATTGTTTTAAAGAGGGCTAAGCCACAGTATTGCAGTTCTGTGCACAACGATACAGTTCGGAAACAAATCCACGACCTTCAGAATGCGAGGCAAAACTACTAGAGCATTTCACCACGGAGACTACCACATTCTCTATCACACACACTCACACACACACACACACTCACCCACACACACGCACGCACGCGCTCACACACACGCCCACACTCACACCACTCACACTCATATCACAAACTTACACACTCACACATACACTCTCACACACACACTCACACACACACTCTCACACACACCACTGTCCCCACATCCAGTAACAAAAGGGTACTTGGCTGGTGATATCGATGTGGATGTCAGTCTGTGTCGTCATTGTCCTGCTGTGTTACTTTATGTCACCTTGTGCTCACAGTCCATTCCCCCATTCCCGCTGGTCACTACAATTGGCATCTCTCAACAGTGTCGATCCCCGTTTCCGCAGTCCCCCTCCCCCTTTTCCCCCTCTTTTCCCCCCAAATCCCACTCTAAATGACATTCTTCTCTATCTTCAGCTTGGGTACACTATTTACACTATTTCTTAATGTAAAACACAAGCAAAGGATCCATGTTCCAGTCTGGTGGGTGTATTGTATATATGGCGTGTGTCCCCTGTTATTGGACAAGTCATGGGAAGTAAAAGCAACCGGTGTGATGATGACCACATCCCACACCAAGTGCCGATTGGTCTATAAAATATAAGTCTAGAAATGCCCAATACGCCAGAAGGGGTGGAAATGGTCCTTTACTTTACATGATTTCTTATTGTTTTCTGTGTGTTCACCGCCTGTAATCTCCAGCAAACATTTCTGGTTGTTGATACATCTCTGGACTTAGTCTTGTTTCAGAACATGCGTGTTGTTGCGTGAACATCCATTTTTACAGATCTGACTTATTGGTAGGTAGACATAGTTCCTTGCCTCTCAGGCAAATGATATCCCAATAAGTCGACTCCTACGACATGCTTGTTGGGGAGGCAGTGGGTCTAGTCTTTTGCCCCTTAGAATGGGGCCCCGGAACCCACACGAGGGTTTTACACTAACTGCCCACTGTAACTTAGGTTGATCTGAGAGCAACAAACGTTTGCCTGAGTCGCCACATTTGAATTGTTTAAAAAGCTGTTGTAAGACTATTGTTTATGTCTCTTGTTTATGACTGGCTTTACCACCAAGTCTTTTAACTCTGCAGATACGTTCACCAAGTCCGGCACACTAGCTGTGGATGCTGGCTACCAGAACATGACCAAAGTCGCAGGTTATCTTGCCTGGGCCAGTCTTCCACAAACGACAAGCAAGGTGGCAGCAGTTCCAGACTCCTATGTATGTGGTGGTTTTTTCCGACATTATCTGAATTGTCACCAACGTCATTGTCACCAACGTCATTGTCATCATCATTATCATCACCATCATCATAAGTCGATGAGCTCTAAGCGGTCATATTTCTTGCTTGATCATCATAATCACTAATATGGTCAGTGCTTTTTTTTCCCTAACCAGGATATTAATAGTTTTTTTCCCCAGAATTCTGCTACACCGTCTACCCCTCTCCTCATTTGTCTTCCTCTCATCTTCCGCCCAAAAGTTCCACTGTTGGAGGTCTCCTTTACAGTTTAGTCTGGATGCATTATTCTCTCTGGTGATTGCATGTATCAACATGTCTTGTGTTGCTGGTGTCTTTTCAGAGACAGCTTGTTTCGCAGGGCGGTGATTTTGAATGTTTATATGAACAAACGCTCTGTTTATGTTTGGCTCTAACCGCACAAAGAGGCGTGAAGATACTATCAATCATTTGCTGTTTTGGTGGAAGAAAGAAAATTAGGTGTCTGTGTAATGGGGCAAGCTGGTAGGGAAACGCTTTTGCCGTCTGGATTCTAGTTCTTCTTCTTCTTCTGTTGTCGTCTCCCTGATACCAGATTGTAGCCCAGTGTCGTGGTTTCCTTATTTGTCTTGCACTTCTCAGGTGGCTTGGGTGATGGATTTGTTCATCTTTTTCCAGGTTTCAACAACATCATGTATCAGTTTTGTTTTGGGTCTTCCTCTTGCCTTCCTCCCAGATGTACTGCTGTAAAAGGTCGTATATGCAGTTTGGTCTGGCTGGCAAGCAAACACTGTAGAAATAAATCACTCTAGTTTTCTGACGAGAAATGTGCTGACCTCGGGTAATCAATGGATAATGCACAGTGAGTTGTTTGATATAGTCTAAGTGAAGCACGGTCACATTGAGAGCCGCCGTAGTGTGGTGGCTAGACTTTTGCCTGAGGATCGGAAGGTCGTGAGTGTGGGACTTTATTTTCTCTCCAGAAATGATCTTGATTATCAAGTCGACCCAGTCTTGAATGAGTACCAGGTATCGTCCTGGAAAATAAAGGCAGCCGGTTTGATGCTGACCATATCACCCACACAGTGCCGACTGGTCTATAAAATATAGGTCAAGCCCTATATGCCAAATACGTCTGAATGTGTGGAGAAGGTTCTTTTACATTCAAATTAGATCCTACAATTTCGTTAACTGCGATTTAGGTACCGTCTGGGATTTTGTTGTTCCCTTGTATGTTCTTTGCCATGCAACGTGTGGTCACTATGTTTCTCCACAGACTTCGATCTCGTGTACTGTTGGTCATGTCTGATAGCCATCCTTGCCATGCTTCCATGTCTAGCATCCCCTCTCTTGGCTTCCCCTGCCTCCCTTTCTCCTCTACCTGTTATCAAGATGTGCTGCATTAGTGGCTGCAACAAGGACAGGTCATTGCTATACACTATTCCATTTTAACAGATCCTCTCATAGCTATTTAGTTAGTTAATCAGTCACTCAGTCGGTCGGTCGGTCGACAGATCAACTTCACTGTACACTTCATTCAGTCTGTAAGTGCTTAGGCCTCCTCCTCTGTATATCCCCCAGAGTGAAGCCGCTCTGAGCACAAATACTATGCTGGTTATTTTTCTTGCCTTCGCCTAGTGAGTCTGGCCTCACTACTTTTGACTTGCAGTTGTTCCAGCCTGGTCTTCATGGCAGATTCACAGTCATTAGTTAAACCGTGCTCACGTCTTACTTGAGCATGCAGTATATAGGCCTGGTTCATTGCTCGCCCGCCCTCTAGGTTAACACTACCCGTAAATCTGTCAGCTTGTTTATTTCCTCTTACATCTACATCACCTGGCATAAAACGTGAACTGATCTGTGTCAGCCGTGGCCGCATCAGAGACTCCAACCACCGCCTTCGAGCCCGGCCAATCTGTTTCCCTGTGCAGTCTCACTGAGTGGCCAGGAAATCTTGCCCGAGTGAAGGACACTCCTCAGCCGGGCTTGTGTTTTGGTTACGGCTGTGACCTGCATAGTCAAACTGTGTTAGTCTAACCTCAGCAAGAATGCTTGAAATTAAGATGCAACCCCATTTGTTTAGTAGATCAGAGTTGAATCTTTCCTCAACCAACGCTGCAGGTTCTTATCGAGCCGGTCACCGGCAGAGTCTGGGTGCGGAGTGTCAAGCTCCAGTGGAATGTTGGCATCAGCAACGAGACTGGTAGTATACTAGGGTGGAACGTCACCGCCTTAGAGGTCCCGCTGCAACTTTTTTGGACTGAGAGAGTGGCAACAATCACCGACGAGGAGATCCATGCATACAAACATTTGGTGAGTTAAATGTCATAGACGCGTTGGCGTTTCATTCACTCACTTTTATATTTGGGTATAATAAACCATTTACAACTCAGACCATGTTTGATAATGTTGTCCTTCCATGGCATTGTGCCGGTTACTGAGGAGGCAACTTGGCGTCTACTGTGTTAAACACGTATCTCCTAAATTAGCACAAGAATTAACCGCCAATTATTCGCCAAGGAAATTATTTGACTGGCTGTCAAGCCATTATGCCCAGGACATCTCATTTCAGCCCACCCTAATTACTCGGAAAAAGAATAGACCAACGGCACCGCTAAGAAGCATTTCGTTAAAGTTCGTGTTTCTTTCGAAGTCGGAGAGTCCAGACACATACAGTCTGCATATAAATAACCTAAATCTGTAAAACGGATATGCATGCAAATCCGCAGTTTGGAAAAAAGACTTCGGTCCAGAAATAGACGAACAACTATCTTTCCACCAGAGTTTACAGCCATTGAACGCCAAGAAGAAGAAGTCGCCTTTTATGACATGCTTGGGAAGGAACAGTAGGTTTATTTTTTCCTCTTTCACACTGAGGCGTCTCAAACATGGCAGCAATCCACATTTTCTTTTTCAAATAATTGTTTTTAAAAAACCCTGATCTTGCAGATAATTTTGCTCTGTTGATTGTTTTAGAAAATTATAGTGACCCATCACGTGGGTACGTTTTTTTAAAGAACTCAGGCTTGTTTGGGTCAAGATTAAACTCTGTGACCTCTGGTTCAGTCGGTTATATATACATGCTAATGTTCACCTGTTGTTGTACTGTTCCACATAGTGTCCATTTCTTCTTCTTCTTTTTTTTCTTAAAGTACATTTCGTGTGGCGTTAGTAGTCATGTCGATCCGCTTCCTTCTGTCACGTGTACTCTCAATCAACTCTGACACAGATGACCCTCCATGCCATGATGTCAAACTGTCAAGAATCTTCACTCTCGGTCTCCCTCAACCTCTCGTCCTCTCCAACATTCCTATTGTCACGATGTACTCCACTTTTCTCCTTCTCATCACATGATCAAAGAGTGTAGATTGTGTCTTTCTGATGTGGTTTTTTTTCGTGAGTTAGTTTCTTTCAAGACGTGTTAATTACTCTTTTTTATTTCGAATGAGAGCTAGTTTGTGTCATTTACAGGACGTTGCAGAACCAACCCCAGCACTTTTGGGCTGTTGTTGTTTTTCTAATCAAATTTACGTCCAGTAGTTTGCCATTGCTTTCTGGACGATCGGCTTCTCGGTACCACTGTCGAAACCAACGCAAGGCCCAAGGCACAAGGCCCGCAACTGTGATCGAACCTGGCATCCCGGCACTACAAGCTCGTTAGCAACGCCTAAACCTCAGACGCTAACATTTCGAATAAGAACCGGTGAAAAATGTATACGCTTTTCTCATAACAACTACAAATGTTCAGTGGGTTTTCCGCCTCAAAACTATTAATTTACATATGCGATAAAACCGCACGCACTCTTCTTACCTTTTACTTTTTATACATATGTATGTGTGTGTGTGTGTGTGTGTGTTTGTGTGTGTGTGTGTATGTATATATATATATATATATATATATATATATATATATATATATATATATATATATATATATATATATATATATATATATATATATATATATATATATATATATATATACTCAGTTGTTCAACCTGACTGCGCAGCGACCGGATAACGAACTCCTTGTGGTTTGGTTTTACTCCCTGAGGTAGGCAGAAAAGCCACATTTCTCCGAGAATTACGTACTTGTGGTTTCTGATTATTTTATATATATATATATATATATATATGTATATATAGACACACATACTAATATGCCTTGAACGTGACTCTTCAACGTCATTTCGTTTCAATTATAATTTAACCGTATCGCTAGTATACTTTATATAGCTTAATGTGTGTGTTTTTCCCCCTACAGATAACAAGACTAATAGCAGGATCTTGTGTTTTTCCCACTACAGATAACAAGACTAATGACAGTATCTTGTGCTTGTCCCACTACAGATAACAAGACTAATGACAGTATCTTGTGTTTGTCCCACTACAGATAACAAGACTAGTGACAGTATCTTGTGCTTGTCCCCCTACAGATAGCAAGACTAATGGCAGTATCTTGTGTTTTTTCCCATACAGATAACAAGACTAATGACAGTATCTTGTGTTTTTCCCACTACAGATAACAAGACTAATGACAGTATCTTGTGTTTGTCCCACAACAGATAACAAGACTAATGACAGTATCTTGTGCTTGCCCACTATAGATAGCAAGACTAATGGCAGTATCTTGTGTTTTTTCCCATACAGATAACAAGACTAATGACAGTATCTTGTGTTTTTCCCACTACAGATAACAAGACTAATGACAGTATCTTGTGTTTGTCCCACTACAGATAACAAGACTACTGACAGTATCTTGTGTTTGTCCCACTACAGATAACAAGACTAATGACAGTATCTTGTGTTTGTCCCACTACAGATAACAAGACTAATGACAGAATCTTGTGTTTTTTCCCATACAGATAACAAGACTAATGACAGTATCTTATGTTTGTCCCACTACAGATAACAAGACTACTGACAGTATCTTGTGTTTGTCCCACTACAGATAACAAGACTAATGGCAGTATCTTGTGTTTGTCCCACTACAGATAACAAGACTAATGACAGTATCTTGTGCTTTTTCCCATACAGATAACAAGACTAATGACAGTATCTTGTGTTTTTCCCACTACAGATAACAAGACTAATGACAGTATCTTGTGTTTGTCCCACTACAGATAACAAGACTAATGACAGTATCTTGTGTTTGTCCCACTACAGATAACAAGACTACTGACAGTATCTTGTGTTTGTTCCACTACATATAACAAGACTAATGGCAGTATCTTGTGCTTGTCCCACTATAGATAGCAAGACTAATGACAGTATCTTGTGTTTGTCCCACTACAGATAACAAGACTAATGACCGTATCTTGTGTTTGTCCCACTACAGATAACAAGACTAATGGCAGTATCTTGTGGCGGAATCATTGGCTTCGGCGTGATTGCTCTGGTCATCATCATTGTCGGACTGGTCGTCTGCGTGTATCCTTTCAAACCAAACCGGATATTGCCCATGATAGAAGATCTCAACAGTGTACCTAATGGCCGCCATCTGTGACAGGCATGCTCGTTGAAAGGGCACACAGCCAGCATGGGTCATTGCCAGATGTTACATATTGGAAATCCTTAATCACTCAGGCTGATTGACTAGCTCGAGGAGGAGTGAGAGTAGGAGGAGCAAGAAAAAGAAAAAAAGAAGATGAAGAATATTCTAAGGGAGGTAATGGTGGTGAAGATGATCAGGATGATACTTAGGAAAGAGGATGAGGGAAAATAAGGAGAAAGAAAAGAATAAGGAGGGGAACATTATAGAAACAATGACTGTAATAATGATCCTGATAACGATGTTTATAATAATGATATTTATCATTAATGATTTTGTTGATAATGGAAACCGGTCACTACATATCGTATCCCCACGACTGGATACTATGAGGTTCTACCCCTCATTACTTCTACAGTAGTATCAGCAACGGGACTATTTTTTGAATTATATAATCGGTCACAGAGGAAGTAATTCACCAATGTAGATCGGCACTCGTAGATAAAGTTAAGGGGAAAATTGTAGATCAGACACTTTAACTAGGCTTTATAAAAACTAAAAAAGGTAGTGTCCACACACGAATCTTAACCAACTGTACCCGAATGAGGACAGCGACTCTGTGAAAAATAAATGTACATTGTCATGATGCGCGGCAGCATGAAAAAAGTACGCTAGTAATTTCCCGTGTTTAAGTAACAGATTAGAAGAAAACCCCCTGGGATGACAACAAAGGATTGGATGTGAGAAAGAAGGTAGAGTTAGTGTTTGACGGTACTAGAGACAGGTTGAGTTGAGCGAAGTGACTGAAATGAATTGTGATTGCTGACAGTGGAAGCGAGGACCTGGAGCGCAAGGACAATAGCTGAAATGTTACGACTCTAAATCGTAACCTCGAGCGATGGAGAATAGTTGTGGCCCTGTGTCTCAGATACAAGATAACAGTGTCAATGGAACATACGGAATGAAAGGCAACAGAGTCTAAATTCAAGTTGTATTCTTAAAGTGGCAGTGTTCGCGAGTAAGCCTTAGAACGACGAGTGAGAACTTAGAACAGAGACTGGACAACACATTTGTTGAACAGCAGTAAACAATACTTACGTCAGAGCTGCTTGTCATCGAAATGTGTTTCCTTACTAACTTGACACCTGAATGAACGGGAGACCAGAGTCGCTATGAATCAAGACAGGTGCTGAAAGTAACATCATTGCTGAGCACAGCTATTGTTACTATGACACCTTCACTTCCACAATACATGGCTCTTTTACAGTCTAACAATGTACCTTTTGTTCCACTATTTTCAAAAACACCCCATAGCATTTTCCTGTTTACTCTATCAAAAAGCTCTTTTTTTTATCTATGATATTCGTTCAGTTCCTGTTATCTTATTCTTTGGACTTTTTTTCATAGCCTCATGGACCTCCTGTTCTAAGATTTCAAGTTCTTCTTCTTGTGCGTATCTCGGGTCGAATAGTGTTATGTTCGCATTGTCGGCTATCAACAACTACTCGGAAAAGTCATGAAAAGGACTAGAAATATAAATGAGACAAATAAATCGATGTATATAAATAATGCTGACACAAACAATACATTGCACAATTAATTGCCGGGCATATTTCGTCTTATCTCGTCAGGTGCGTTACTACAGAGTTAGAGTTACATCAACATAAAATGAAGCACAAAACTAAATAAATCCAACTCAAATGCGAATAGTTTCTTCCAATACATCGTGTGTGTTTTATGGCCGCCGGAAGCTCACCGCAGTCACGTGACTGACCGGGGTAACTTCAAATCTACGATAAATTTATGGTTTATGGGTACTAAATCTATGGGTACTAAAAACAATACAGCGCCCGACTTTAGGAAAGAGTCTGTTTGTAATCTCACAACATTAAAAGATATCACTTGCCTGGTAAATCGCTGACATAAACAAAGGTCTGATGAAGGCATACGTCTCTGAGTTACAGGTACTGCCAGGCATCCAGTCTTATTTATAAAAATACAAAATAATTATAAACAGTGTATGTCTGGTATATAACAATTTTGATATATCTAACCTGTCCATAATCCGTCACTAGTCTGAACTAATACAATGGAATATGGACATCATTCTTATTAGGCATTTCTATAGCGCATTAGGCATCACCCAACAGGACTGGTGCATTACAAGTGAACTAAAGACAGGTCGACAGAAAAGACTGTTGACGTTGGGGATCGCAAAATATGGTGAGGCATGATTACCCAAGCCAGCCAACAAGATACTGTATGGTAGTGATTATGTTGGTGATGATATAAATGTGTCATATTTCTATTAACCAAACAAAGATTGTGTGCTGTTCTACGAAGAGCTAAGCAGTTCGTACACTGTGTGGAGATTCGCATGGTATGATCTGGGGGAGCAAACTGGAGCACATATGGATGAAATGAATTCATGTACCATGAAAGGCACACTAAATCGAGATGTTATGTGCACTAAATCGAGATGTTAAGCGCACTAAATCGAGATGTTATATGCACTAAATCGAGATGTTATGTGCACTGTTATGCTAATATAGTACCAGCGCTATGTTAATGTTTACCTTAGGAAAACCCAAATTGTGTGAATCATTGACAATGTTATGGTATTGTATACCCAAATGTTAACCCATCGCATTGCTACAGCACCAAGACTTTTCTTAACGCCAGCGGGTCTTCTTTGTCACATTCGCCTATCGCCAAATGCTGGGAGTTTCATGCCTCCACAAAGCACAGTGTAACACTATCGTCTACAAAGACGGATAAGTGCCAACAACCAAAAAGACTGATCGGTGATTCACTCTAGGAAAATCCAAGTAGTTGATTTTTAGTTACAAGAATTACAAACGAAACAATCATATGTACAAATGGCTTTCAGCTCTGTAGTGTGTGTTATGCCCTGTTTAGATACAAGCCCTGACTTCCTGCCTAGAGTCTAAGACTAGCAGTGGCCCTATGTGTGCATGTTATCTGTTGATTTATCTGTACATCTGGACTTTACATAATGCTAGCAGATGATGCATGTTGTTTATTGTTATATGAAAACTGCACGCTTAGTGTTAATAAAAGTCCATTAAATATATCACAAGAGTTGCCTTGCTATTGTCTTGTATGCTCTGATCTTGCTTAGTAGGCTGAATTTAAACTTTTGGCCCTGTGCACACAGAAACTTGCCATTCTTTCATTCATTACTGAGTGTTTTTTTAAATAATTGTTTGTACTATTTGGACTTTGAAAATGAATTCGAAAAGTGCAAAAATTCAGAATTAATGATTATAATATGAGACTGGAGTATATCGTATCGGTTGGAAGTTGGAGGGGGGGGGGGGGAAGAGGCAGAGAGAAACCGAGAGAAAAGATGCTGAACAGTTTCACATCATGGCATAGAAGATTATCTCTGTCAGCACTGGATGAAAGTATACAAAATAGAAGGTTGCGGATAAACAAGACTACCGACCCCAAATAGCGTTGACTATAAAAATATAATAGCAGGAAATCAGTTTTTATGCTTCATTGTATGTTAATGGTACTCTGTAGTAACGCACCTGAACAGATACAGCGAAATATTCCTGGCAATAAATTGTGCAATGTATTGTTTGTGTCCGCATTTTAAAACTTATTACGGGAAAACATTGTTTTGAATAACAGGAGACTCGAATCATCAAGCTGTGCGCAGGATGGGGGCACTGTAGCCAAACGTGGTTTAGGAAAGCAAGGAGAAAAAGCGGACAGGCTAGTTAACATGTCTTTTCAATAAAGATTGCTCACTCGTGCATTACAGCTGGCAATGATTCTCGGTCCACTAGCTGGGTCTACCTTGACCACCAGTTGATTAGGCCTGCCATAAGTAGAATGGACAATGAGCGTCATGCAATTGTCGGAAACACTCAATATCAGCAATAGCAGAGATTATGGGTGTGGAAAACCCCTGATAATAAGAACAAAATTCAGACTATGTCTTTATCAATCAAGACGATGTTTTTCAAAAATGTTATTAGGAGGAATGGACCCGAGAACTTAAAAAAGAATGGCAAGATTAATAGAAGACGGCACGGAGACGGCAAAGAAATAAATACATCGATAACTTAGCCTTATTGTTGCTGTGAGACAAGAACACTAATCTAGTGATCGTGTGAGAAAGCAAGACAGGACAGCCTACACCAAGGCATCCTAACTGGTTGCCCGCGGGTCGAATCCGACCCCATAGTGACCTAACAAGTTGTCCGCGAATCATTGACAATCCTATCGTATTCATGATATTCCTTTGCTGGGTCTAGGGCTTTTGGCTCGGGACAATCCCCATTTTCGGCACCTGAGTAAACTTAGTTCAGTAGCCCTGGCCTACGCTTACCTGCATGGCACATGATGAGGATGTTTGATCATAATGGTTGGGGAACTAGCAAGTACTGGTTGGTCAGTTATGAGCGATCGCGAACAAGTTTTGCCTCTTTGATTGGGTGGGAAATGATGCCTCAAGATTAGTGTTTCTGATGTTATCAGACAGATTTGAATGATACTTACCCTGCGGCCTGGGTTTTCTCCGATCCATGTATGTTTTCTATAACTCTACACCTGTGTGAATAGATATTTGCGCCTAATTTTTCATTACATAATTAATTAATAATGTCACAGATAAAACTGTCTGTCACCCAAAAATAACAATAAATGATGAAGAAATTGAAAATGTCACAAACTTTGAATATCCAGGCTCAACACACACACATACACACACACACACACACACACACACACACACACACACACACACACACAAAAGCAATGGTGACTGTTTAACAGAAATGAAAAGAAGGATGGCCACAGCAATGCAAAGATTAAACAGCAGTAAAAGTCTATAGGTGATGATGATGGCGATGATGCTGATGATGTTGTTTTCTTTTAAGTAGACATGATGACTGAGAACGCGTTCCGTTTCCTACAGTACAATATATAATTTAATTGGACGAATTCTATGACTGAAGAAATCAGACAAATGTCTGGATAAC